CAGACCAGGCCAGTGATATCCCTTCCAGAGTCAGACCAGGCCAGTGATATCCCTTCCAGAGTCAGACTAGGCCAGTGGTCACCAGCCTCTCCTAAGCGGCCTCGAGCGGGCAGGAGCCCCTTCCTCCAGAGGCAGCACATTCCCTTTGAGTCAGCTCTGACTCCTTGGAAAGCGGTTCAAATTCGCCTCTTTGCAAACATCCACTCCATGTTCCATGTTCTGGCCTCTGGGACAAGCAGAAAAGGGCAATCCCTTCTAAACAAGGTGGTCCTGGGAGACAGACCTCCATCCCAGGGGCCATGCTCTGGCCTCATATCACTTTGCCGACATCCTTCCTAAAACGTGGTTCCCAAAACTGAACTCAAAAGTCTAGATGGGCTTAAGGTCAGAGGTGAAGGAGAAGTCCCAGGCTGGCCCTGCTTCATTCAGATCCATCTACTGCCGGCATTATCTAAAGCCCAAGTTGCTTATGACATTTCAGACTTCAGAGTCACACACATCGCTGTGTCGAGGGCAGTGGCCAAAACATCCTCAGTGATTGCTGCCAGAGGTGCCCATAGTCTCCAGTCCTGTGGGATCTCACTGAGATAGACATTCCCCCCAGTGATAAAGACCTTCTACAAGCTCAAACGGGGGTCTGTCCAATGGCCCAGAGGCCTTCCTCCAACATGGAGCTGCCCACTGGTTGGCCCTCTCTCTCTCTCTCTCATTACATGACCAGGCCATCTTCTTTTCTCCAGGTCTCTCATCTCTCTGACGACCTCGTGAAAACTTTAAGCCACTGCTACAAAATTCGTGTAGAATCAGGCATCGCAGATCACTCATTCCTGCCCTGTGCCCCTCCAGTGCTGCCTCCACTGCCCTCCATAACCCCACTCCCCAGAGGCGGCAGCATTCCATAGATTTCAGCAATATGGAGCAGTATGGGTGATCCCATTCAGAACACAGGCCTCCATTTCCAGGAGATGCTGGAGAACCATCCAGCTGCCCAAAGGCCATCCAGCCTGCTTTCCACTTCCTGCTCCATTCTGGACCCAGCCCCACATCCATCTGTAACATGCTCCATGTTCTCCTTAGGAAACATGGAGTTCTTGGAAATTACACACTATTGGTTCACCACCAGCCAGGTACTGGGAAAAACTGACGGGAGCAGCGCCATCTTAACGGCCAAGAAGGCCAATGCCTTGACTTCAAGAAAAGTACTCAACTGCTCATACCTTTGACCCAGACATCCCACTACTGGGCAGTCACCCCAAGGAGGCCAATAATAACAGAAAGGACTTATGTATATAAAATGATTAAAATTATTATTTTTTAAAATTACTTATTATCTTTATACAGGCGTCCATAGTATGGTGGATGGAGAGATGGCCTTGGAGCCAGAAAGTCTTGGGTTCAAGTCCTGACTCTGACACATGGTGGCCGTGTGACCCTGAGCCCATCACTTAACCTCTGAGCTGTCAATCTCTCAGTTTCAGAGAAGGGACCAATTTTCATCGTGGAGGAAATCCATTCATCAGAAGTTCCTTATACTAATGAAATGACAGGCCTGGTCCCTATCCTCATGTCTTTATATCATGATAATTAATAGTAACAATTGCTAGCATGTGATTATTTTATTAATCATGTTATTCCACTTTATTAACTATTATTTGTTGATTATTATTATATTTTGTTAATTAGACCAATTGGGAATGATCTCTTTAATGTTAGCAAAGGGCTTGAGAGATATTATTAGCTCCTTTTCTATGGCAGTTGGGGGTGGGAGGAGGATCTTGGGAAATGTGTGTGATAAAAAGAACAAAGCTACCGAGCAAACTTTGGTTTTCAAACGTGCAGGTTAAGAACCGCTGAGCTGTGGTGCTCTGAGTCACCTGCTGAGCTCCCCAGGCTGTGCCCACCGATCCCCAGGAGCCGAGCAGAGCCCCCAAGGTGGCTGAGAGCTTTGGGGCTGGAAGGGATCTAACCTGAGGGGCTCATCCTGCCGCCCAGGCTGTGAACCTCACCTGGAAGAAGGGGTGATCCTTCACCTCCTGGGCCCCCTGGGGCCCCGACCCCAGCCGCTTTTTGGGGTCCTTCTCCAGAAGCCTCTTCAGCAGGTCCTGAGCAACTGGCCCGATCCGAGAGGGAAAGGGAGGAGTACATTTCAGAATCCGCCTGGGAACGTGGGAGGAAAATCACAGACAGCCCTCCTTCCACCCCCCTGTTATGCTCCCACCCCCAGCCTCATGGCCTAGATCCCAACCAGCCTGCCCCGCTTCCCGTTCCTCAGGACACCCTTGGCCTGGCATCCCCTGCCTCACTGGGATGCTGAGCCCCTCCTCAGCCCTTCAGCCCCAAGCGCCTCACCGGGAGACCTCAGCCTGCGTGTTCCTCTCACCCTCCAGGGTGAAGGGGGATGCCCCGGTCAGCAGCTCAAAAAGAAGAATGCCCAGACTCCACCAGTCTACGGACTAGGGGAGCCAGAGGGGCAGAAGGGTGAGGTCAGAGCCCAGGCCAGCTGCCCTCCAGCCCTGCCCCCCACATCTTCCTCTCCCAGCCCAGACCCCAACTGACCTTGCCGTGGCCAGATTTCCCTCGGATGATCTCGGGAGCCATATACTCAATGGTTCCACAGAAAGAGAAGGTGCGTTCTTTCTAGTAGAGTAGCAGCCCATCATCACAGAATCACACAGTTAGAATGGAAGGCACCTGAGGGCTCATTCAATCAACCGAGCCCCCACTATTTTACGAATGCAGTCCCAAGTCTGGCCCACAGGCATGCAGCTAGCGTCTGAGGGGGCATTTGAACCCAGGCCTTCCTGGCTCAACATCTAGTGTTCTGTCCACTACACCACACTACCTCCCATCAGAGGTAGCTGGTAGCACAGTGGATAGAGCACTGAGCCTGGAGTCAGGAAGGCCCGAGTTCAAACCAGCCTCAGTCACATGTGACCCTGGACAAGTCATTTAACCTCTATTACCTCAGTTTCCCCATCTGTAAAATGGGGATTATAACAGAACCTACTTCCCAAGGTTGTCAAGAGGTTCAAATGAATAATATTTGTAAAGCATTAGCACATAGTAGGCACTACATAAATGTGTATTCCCTTCCCTTCTCATAGACTCCAGCAATCAAGAGGGATCTAAGTACCCATACAAAATATAAATATTCCCTTTCCCCTCTCAATAGGCATTTCCTAAGCAGCTACTATGCTCCAGGCACAGTTTGGAAGTTTACATTCTATCCAGGAAGACACACTGTGTGCAATGGTGTGTCCCAGGATGGATTCCAGAGCTGGAAGGGCCCTTAGAGATCTCTGGTCCAACTAATCCCCCTCATTTTCCAGATGAGGAAACTGAGGCCCAGAGACTTGTCTAGGTCATACTGGGGGTGACTGGCAGTCAGGATACGAGGTCCCCAGACTCCATCTCTGGGACTCTGTCCATGCTGCCTGACACCCATCTCTCCCTGTCCCTTAGACCGCCCCCCCAACATCAGCCAAGCTCTAGAACCCCACCGAGCCCTGAACCCTGCCTGCACCATCCCAGTCACTGGGCCTGACCCAGAACAACTCTAATCATCCAGGTCATTCCACAGCTGCCCCAGTGGGGTTGGAGACCAGGGAGGCCTGGGTGGGGCCCGGGAGGAGGGAGTTCCTGGAAGAAGGAGGGTGCTAGTCCTGGAAGGAGGCCCCAGCAGAAGAGTTAACCCTTTGCTCACCTCCTCAGAAAGGAATTCCTTGCTGAGGCCAAAATCCGTGAGGACGATATGGCCTTCCGAGTCCAGCAAGACATTCTCCAGCTTCATGTCCCGGTAAATGATGCCCAGCTTGGGTAGGAGGGGAGATCTGGGTCACTGGGACCTCCACGGAGACCTTGCCCAAGCTCCAGCCCAAGCCCGGCCCAGCCAATCCCAACCCATCACATCCCTTCCCAGGATGCTCGCAGGGTAAGCAGTGCCCTTGGCTGCAGGCCTGGGGACTCAAGCCCTGCTGGGCCAACTCTCAGCCGCTCCCTACCTTGTGCAGATGCTCCAGCGCCAGCACTATCTCACCCCCGTAGACCCGCACTTCGGCCTCAGCGAAGTGTTCCCGCTGGTAGAGGTGGGTGAACATCTCCCCCCCACTCACGTAGTCTGGGAGGGGCAAGTTGGGGAGCGGTCAGACGGCCGGGCAGGGCCGGGCTGCCGGCCCTCCCAGCCCCCGAGGCCCATACCCAGGATGAGATGCAGCTTGGCGTCGGTTTGGAAGGCATAGTGCAGCGTGACCAGGAAGGGTGCCTGGCGCACCAGCTCGAGGACCGAGCGCTCCGTGCGAGTGTGTTCCTGCGTCTTGGCGCGCTGCACGATGGCCGCCTTGCGAAGCACCTTCATGGCGTAAAGCTTTCCCGCATCGTGCCCGCCGGCCTTCCGCACCAGGAACACCTTCCCATAGGCTGGTGGAGAGGAAAGGGAAGGCGAGGTCCGCGAGGGCCTGGAGAGGGGGCGCAGCATGGGTGCGCCACCCCCAAGGAGCGCCCCGTGCAAAACCAGGGAGGAAGCCTGAAGCCGAGGGCACCTAGTGTGTCAGACTTCGCTTGTTGGGGGTGTGGGGTGTGGAACTGTGCAAAGCCCGAGGACCATTATGTAAGCCCAGGGACGCGCAAATCTAGGAAACGTGCAGACAGAAGCCAGGGCAGGAATGTGCAAAGCCGGAGAAAGATGATCCACAACCAGAGGAGGAGGGTGCAAACTCACAAGGGAAGTGTGTAAGCCCCTGGTGAGAGCACAAACCCCAGGAAAGAGTGGGAGCCTACAAAGCCAGGAAAGAATCCTGCGGGAGAACGCTGCGGACCAGGGGAAATAGGTTTGTACACAGAGGGGCCCTGCACGCAAGGGGAGTGTGCAGACCTGGAGACCAAGCTGGAGAACGGGCAAAGCGGCGTGCCAGGGGGCCAGTGCCAGGCAGGGAAGGTCTGAGTCCCAGGGAAGAGAGGCACCCCCTTTGCTTGGGCCCTTCCCTGGGCTAGGCCAGAACGCTGCAAAATCGAGGAAGGGGAGGCCTGGCCATAGCCCCCACCGTGCAGCTGGACAGACGGGGATGCAGGCCACCGCGGGGGCAGAAGGGGTGGTACCGGCCCGCCCCTGGAGGGGAGCGCGGGGAGGGAGGGGGCTTGGCCTGGGAGGTTCCCGGGCCAGGAGCACCTCCTCCGGGCTGGGAGACTGCGGAGTGTAGAGGAGAGGAGTGGAGAGATGGGGAGGGCTGTGGGGGGTCGCGGGCGCGGGGCCGGGGGGGGGGGGGGCATCCTCACCTCCCGTGCCCAGCACCTTGAGCAGCTCGAAATTCTCCACGCTCACCTTCTCCTCGTGCCCGGTCAGATTGGCTGTGGACACAGAACGGGCAGCGCTCGGCCTGGAGGGCCGGACCCTGCAAGGCAGCGGCGAGCGCCCCCTCCCCGGCCCGGAGCCCCCCACCCTCCCCTCCCAGGCGTGCCGGGCCCTCCCCCGGGCGCACCGTCAGTGATCCGCAGCTCCACGGCGCAGCCCTCGTCCTCGTCCTCGTCGCCCATGGCTGGGGGCTCCGGGGGGCTCCGGGGGGGCTCCGGGGGCGGCGGCGGCGGCGGCGCTGCGGGCTCCGGGCGGCGCCGGTTACATGGCGGCTGGGGCCGGGGCGGGCGCTTCCTGGTGCCGCCTCCCGCCCCGCGCTGCTGCGCCAGCCCCGGCCCTGCCCGCCCGGCCGGCGCGCCCCGCCCCGCGGGGCCTGACTCAGGCCACCGGAATGTGACAGCCCGCCGGCCACTGAGGCCACCGTGGCGCCCTGCGCCCGCCCCCCTGCTCGGCGCGGACCGTGCAGCCGAAAGCCGCGGCCCCCACCTCGTTAAGCCGGCGCCGTCACTTAAGCAGAACCATCCGACGCAGCGTGCAAACCCAGCTCCACTTCCCGGGCGCCCACCCTGATTGCAGGACCCGGCCCTAAGGGGGCTTGGACCCCCGTGCGACCCAGTCCCGTACGAGTAGCCGCGTGGTGCTGCTTAACCGGGGAGCGCTACGCCAAGCCCCGGGGCTCTTAATTAAACCCACCGTGCTGCCTTGGAGCGGGACCCCTCTCAACCCCGACTGTGCAAGCTCCCCACACGCTGAGCTGGAGAGAGGCCAGACCAGTCTGAGACGATTAACCTGGAGACCTCCAAGGCGGGCCAGACCCACCTAAACCTGAGCAGATTGAACTGAGGACTGGATAGGGGCCACCGAGGTGAGGCCCCTGCCTAAGGCCCAGGCACTCATGCCACCGCTCCACCAGGACCCCGAGGAAGCAGGTCTAGGTTACCTCAGAACTGCACTGGTCCCGATGTACCCGGACGTTAGCTGAGTCAGGGCCTAACAGCTCCCACTCCTAGCCATGCCCATGTTTCTCCAACCTGGGGCACTGGGGTCCAGGAACCACCACCTCCCCATACCCCCCCCCCAGCCGGCTTCAGCTGAGCTGGGCATTGCCCAGGACCTGACCCAAAAACGGACCTGCCTAACTGTGACCCCTGGGATAGCAAACCTTGCCCCAGGGCAACTCTGACCTCCCCCAGCCAGCCCAGAGCAGCCCTGAGCCTCATCCAGGACCTGGTACCTGGCATTTCAGCTTACCCACGAAAGGGAAAAGCCAGTGCCATGGGGCCAGGACCTGGCATCTGGGCCCCAGCTTAACCAGGTTGGGAGCCCCAAGCCCTACGGCCCCCCAGCCAGGACCACGCACCCTGGGCTCTCTGTTGTCCAATGACTGCTCCTGAAACAGTGATGCCTGGGCAGCTAGGCAGCACCTGCCTGTGGTCACAGGTTGGTTTCTGGCTCCCACTGTGGAACACTCAGGACCCTTCGGCAGACAGCAGGATCAGTTGCCCCAGGAAGGGAGTATAGGCCAAAGCCAGGGCCAGACCCAGAGCCACAGTAGGGCTCCCTAGACCAGGCCCTACAAGCCTGGCTGTCTGCCCCAAAGCCTGATGCCGTGGGGACAGCACAAACCTGGGATTCAGAGGCCAGCTAGAACATTTTCAGCAGGACAGGAGTCTGGGCTGGGGCAGGAGAGGCCAGGATGGCTGCGCTGGTGGATCAGACAGGCCCTAGGGAGCTGGGGAGCCTGGAGGGGAATCACCTCCAAATGAATAACAAGAATGTGCCTTTTCTCTGCTGGTGCTTTGGACCTTTGTCAAGTGATTTTCCATCCATCACCATCAGTCAGTCAACAAACATTTAGTAAGTGCTGACTATGCACCAGGTCCTGTGCTAAACACTGGGGATAGAGCAAAAGGCAAAAGCCAGTCCCTGCCCTCAAGGAGCTCCCAGTCTAACGGGAGAGACAATGCACAGACAACCATGCATGTTAGATACAGGCTAAGCTACATGCCATATGCAGGATGGGCAGCCAGGTGGTGCAGCGGATAGAGCCGGGCCTGGAGTCAGGAAGACCTGAGTTCAAATCTGGCGTCAGACGCTTACCAGCTGTGTGACCTTGGCAAGTCACTTAACCCTGGCTACCTTGGTTTCCCCGTTTGTAAAATGAGCTGGAGAAGGAAATGGCAAACCACTCCAGTATCTGCCAAGAAAACCCCAAATGGGATCAGGGAAATGACTGAGAGTCAATGACATGTGCAGGATAAATAGGAAATAATTAATGAAGGGACAACAATTGGGGAAGGCTTCCTGTAGGAGGTGGTGGCACTCTAGCTGAGACTTAAAGGAAGCCTGGGAGGTCGGTGATTGGAGCAGAGGAGGGAGAGCAGTCCAGATCTGGGAGAGGGGGAGCTGGAGATGGGGGGTCCTGATGGAAGAACGCCAGGAGGCCAATGTCACTGGAGTACATGGCAGGGAGTGGAGTGTAAGAAGGAGGGCTCATTTTGTATTTGATTGTGGGGGCCATGGGAGGGCACTGGAGTTTGCTGACTAAGGAGTGACCCAGTCAGACCCGGGCTTGAGGAAAATCCCTTTGGTGGCTGAATGGAGGATGGGCTGAAGTGGGGAGACTGAGGCAGGCAGACCCCACCAACAGCTACTGCAATAGTCCAGGGTTGCACCAGAATGATGGCCAGGCTTATGAGTCGTGAGGGCGAGGCATATTATACCCCCTGGACAGAGGAGGAAACTGAGGTCCTAAGTGTTTCAGGCTGCATAGGATTAGCAATAATAACATTGCCTGCCGTTCCATAGTGCATTAAAGTTCCCAAAGCACTTTACATCCCTTTTCTCACCAGAAAGCAGCCCACAGCCTCTCCCTCCCAATGCCCGGCTCCCACTTGTCCCCCCTTCTAGACCCAGCCTCCTCCCCTTCCTGCTGAGAGCCATGGAGGGCTAAGGGCAGCATCAGGAGAGCTCCTAATGCTAACAACAATCGCTGTGTGACCCTGGGCCAGTCTCTTCCCCTCTCTAGGCCTCAGAGGGCTGGGGCTGGATCAGTGTTTCTGCCCACGTCTTCACAGATGATTTTCTGTGCTAGAGCCAGCCCAGTGACAATAGAGAAAGCATGATGTAAACCTGGAAATCCTCTCAGTCCCCTAGAAATGAGGAAAGGTCTGGATTCAAATCCTGCCTGTGATACTTAACAGCTATACAACCCTGGGAGACCCCCTTTACTCTCCGAGGCTTGGTTTTCTCATCTGTAAGAGGGGGGTTATGATAATGATAGCATGGCACGTCCAAAGGCCTTTGTGGCTGTCATATACCTGCACAAGGGAGGGTGCCCCAAATCCCACACAATTCCAGTTTCTTGGTTATTCGCCAAGAGCCAGAGGCTCAGAGGGAAAACTGCCCGAGCTCTGCCTAACCTAGGGTGGTCACTCCAGAAAAGGGGAACTAGCCTCATCAGGCCTGGCCTAGGTCTTCGAACACACCTTGTGCCCCCAGGGACACCTCAGGGGAAAGAAGGCCTGCCTCCCCAAGCCACCCCCACTGGGGTCAGGACCTGAATGCTTCCCTCTCCAGCAGAGGGCACTGCAGCGGTGCTAAGCAAAGCCAGTAACTCATAAGGGTCCCAGGTCAGGAATCGGAGGAGAACTCAGAGAACCCTCTACTCCACCCCCATCCTTCTAAACATGGGGAAGTGAGCACAAGAGGGAGAAGGAGTCACCCAGAAGGCCCCTTGTGTCATGAGATGTCTGAGCCAGACGTTACAGATCACTCTTTTACAGATGGGAAAACTGAGGCCCAAGTTTGATGGGCAGGCCATTGGTCACATTTTAAAGAGATCTTGAAAGATGTAAGAGCTCTGATCATTGGGAATGACCAACCATGGCAGAATTCATCCCGCGTTTTTGGATGTGACTGATGAAGCGATTTGTTTTGCTTGGTTGCATAATTATTATAAGGGGTTTTGTTACTATTTTTCCAATGGGGGGAGGCAAAGGCGGGAAAAATAGATTTCTGTTCATTGAAAAAATTAAATTAAAATTTTTTTTAAAGATTTGGACTAACTTAAATGGCATCCGGGGCCCTCTTCAGCTTGAAATTTTATATTCCTTTATAGGCTAGCTTCCCAACTTAGCTAATCCTAAAACTTCCTTCCCCACCCCAATCCCAGCTCCATTGCCCAAGCAGGCCACTCCCTGCTAGATGTCAAGCCAGCCCTGTACCCCAGTCATATCCCCGAGCCCGCCGGGGGGGTGTGGCCATACATCCCAGGGAAGATAACTCCTTGCCATCTGGACAGAAACCAGCTCTGTGGGGGAGCGGCTCAGTTACAAGACAGTTTGGCCGATTCGTGCAGGCCTTGCTCAGGGCCAGCCTGGCCTCCATGACCCGCCCAGCCGGGGAGCCCAGTGCCAGGCCTGTGTGCCACTCAGACAGACAGGGTGACCTCTGCAAGTAAGGACACAGAGAGCCAGGAAAGTGGCCAGGTTTTGGGGCAAGATGCCTTCCCCCTTCTCTGAGGCGAGGAGGCTCTGCCTGAACCAACCTTTAGAGGCCTGGGAGAGAGATTACGGCAGTGGTTCTTGGGCTGCCCTCTGCGGTCTCTCTCTGCCTCAAACGTCATCATCCTATGGTTAAGGGAAAGAGAGTTTGGGAATTGGATAGCCCAGAAAGATGAGGGCAGCTTGGAGCTACCAAAGAGAGGGTCAGGGACAGTTCCAAGGTGGGCTGAGGCCCTCCCTGCCTCTTGGAACTCTAGGCCTTTCCTGTCTATCCCTACTACTGATCCTCCTGCCCCCATCAAAATCACTTCCCAAAGGATCTCCCCACCACCAAAAATACTTTGTTACTTACTCTGACACATTTTGTACTTGTTAATCTACTTACATGTTGTTCCAGCTTAAGGTCAGGGACTGTCACATTGTTTGTATATATGAGGTATTTGACAAATCTTTGAGGTGGATGGAGTACTGGGCCTGGAGTCAGGAAGACTCATCTACCTGAGTTCAAATCTGGCCTCAGACACTTACTAGCTGTGTGACCCTGGGCAAGTCACTTCACCCTGTTTGCCTCAGTTTCCTCATCTGTAAGATTAGCTGGAGAAGGAAATGGCAAACCACTCCTGTATCTCTGCCAAGAAAACCCCAAATGGGGTCACAAACAGTCAGATACGATTGAACAGCAACTATTTATCAAACAGAGGATTGAGAGTAAACTTTTTTTGCATTAATAAGAGCCAAGATTTTTCCATGATCTTGTTATGTTCCCCATCTTCCAATCCCTTACCACCCTCACCATGGCAGCGCCTTCAGCAGGGACGACTTCCTCTGTGTACACGTGGTCTAATACAGCTATTTTTCCTGCCTTTGTTCTCTTTAATTAGCTATTTCTACCCCCTCTAGAGGCACAACCAAGACTATGATATTAGAGTTCAAGTATGCTGACTTGACTGTCCTTGGTGATGAAAAGGGTTTGTTATGAAAAATCTCCGCAGATCTTTTCTCCTTGTTTGCTGTCCCCCTTCTGTTCCCAACCTTAAGTGCCCTCAGGATAACCTGACCCCACTGAATCCCCCAGTAAGCGTCCTTTCAACTGATTTCACCCCGCCACTGCTTCTCTGTCTTATATCATAATGCTGTCTTGCACCCAAGATTTTGTGAACAAGCATCTATTATAAACCAATATTGCCTCTCGCTGTCATATTTCTCTGCTTAACAAGTCAACCTGATTTTTGATGACTAAGGTTCTTTCTTAGGTTCTTGTGACGGTAATTGATTCATTTCAGTTAAATTTCTGGATGAAATGATTATAATCTGCTCTATATCCCTTCTTCTGTCTGTTACCCATTTTTTGTTATCAGTAACCAATTTGAACAGATCAGGATTGATTTGTTTCAAATGCTTGCCATACCTTTTTTTCCTCATTTTTTACTCTTTCTTCTAGCCTTAAACTAATTTAACAATTCGGTGGTCTTGACCACATTGTGTTCAGGAATTGACTCCCACATTGGTAATGAGTCATTTCCCACTAGTTAAAATAGAATGTTTGCAAACGTTACTCAGTTCATGCCTTGTGCAGCTCCGAACTGAAGCTTATCTTGAAAACGAATGCTCATAGTCTACAGAGGTGGGGTTTCTCCTTATACGGTCTGGCCCTCCTTTGGTCTATCTCCTTCCTTCTCCTTCTGAAGTATTTCTCACCAGCCTCCTCTATTCCCGCCTTTCTGCCGAGGTCATGGAGAAGCAAACTATACGCTGACTTCATTTGGAGGGCTGTGGTGAGTCCTTCGGGGAATTTCTCTACCTCCTCATTCTCTGCAACGCAGGCTGCAATTATTTTCATACTGATCTAAATACTCACAAATACTTTTCTTGAGCTCTTCCTTATGAGAAGATCAAATGTCCTATTGCCTTTGGATGCCAGATTAAAGCAACCCCACCTACTCCTTCTGTCATGAGAGCCCAGGAGCCATCTCCCACTGAGCCCCACCCTCCTTCTTTCTTCTAGCTTGGTTCATAGTGAGAATGCCCAAATCAGTATGATTCACCTTCTCTAGCATTATCTGTGCGTCCTTGGGCAGGTTACTGGACCTCTCTGTGCCTCTGTTTCCTCATATGCAAAATGAGAAGGTTGGATAAATGGCCTCTGAGGGCCTTTCCATCTCTACGCTTATGATGCTGTGATGTTCTGATCCTCATGTCCACCCCTGTCTGGTGACCACTGGACAAAGGGTTTCCAGTTAGCAAACCGACAGCTGAGTTAACATTCACACAGTCTAGAAACTGGCTTTTCAGCCCCCTCTGCCCGCTTTTCTGACATTCTGTCATGATCACTGCAGAAGGGCACACGGGACACTTGTATTTGTCCCTCTTTTACCACTTGTCACGGCCAAAGGATTCACCAGCAAGTGGCCAGCCTTCTGGTCCTCACTGGCCTCTGGAACTCTACTAGAACCCTTCCGAGTAAGGTAGAGCCTGGCCAAGCTTGTGCCCATCTGGCAGAGCCTCGGAGAACCCAGGTCACCCCTGGGCCATGCTGAGACGCTGGAGGACTCCTTGCCAATTCAGAACACAGGCCGGACGAAGCTTTGCAGCTAAGGACTGCCAGGTCAGGCTCACCCCTGTGCTCAGGGGGTGGTCTCCCCTCCCTAGCCCAGGGGAAAAGGCCCTGAGTATTCATGCCAAACCCCTGCCCATATCTATCTCCTGCCCTAGACTGAGCCTCATTCTCTCATATACCACACATACACACACACACCACATAGAACACACACACACATCCCATACATACTGCACACACATATACCACACACACACCCCACATAAACACACACCGTATATATACCACACATACCATACATATTCCACACACACACAGAGCCAGGCACCAGGTCCTGAGCCTGTCCTGGCTCCTACCTCCCCAGACACTACCTAAAATCATCCCAAAACAGATGAAACAAACATCCTTCTGGGGTCAGCAGGACCATCGTCCTATCAGATAGTCTGGGGAGAGGCCAGAGGCAGAGGCCCTGTTCAGGCAAGGGCTCCATTCAGGCAGAGGCTCCATTCAGGCAGAGGCCCCATTCAGGCAGAGGCCCCTTCAGGCAGAGGCCCCATTCAGGCAGAGGCCCCATTCAGGCAGAGGCTTTATTGCGGTCTTGCCAAAGACAAAGCAAAGGTTTAAATAACAGAAATGGGGCCTTGTCTGGGGTAGGTACTCAATCCATGGGGGTTGAATTTCATGGAATGAAACGGAACCTGAAGCCAAGTAAGCTTCCTCCAGGCCCCTCTCCTCAGGGGTGTCTCTTCTGCCTGTGCTGCTCTTCCGCATGCCAGGCACTCCAGCCCCCATGGACCAGGGCCCCCCAGTCCCCCCGGCCACATGCTTCTAGGCTCAGGGTAAAGGGGCGCCCTCCTGAAGCACTCACACAAGCAGGTGGGCCCAGCAGCCTCCCCCCAAGGTCCAGGCGCCAGGGCAAGCCAGCCACAGAGACTCTTCCCATCCCCAGCCATGTCATGAGTCCTGTGGCTGTGGTCCCTCTGGGGTGGTCCTCCCAGGCCAATGGGCTCCTGAGCTCATCATGGGGTCACTGGCTGAGGGAAGGTGTGAGGGGAGCCTTCTTGGGCTCATGCTCTGAAGGACCTGCAGACAGAGGACACACAGTGCTGGGGCAGGGCCAGGAGGGCCCCCATTATTCCAGCTGCCCCTCCCCACCCATACTCTTACCCAGCCCAGCCTCCCTTCTCCTCCCTGCCTCACCCGCACTCCCCCTACTCAGCTCCCAAGCCTGTCTCACTCTCTTGGTCAGCCGCAGCTTCTGGTCCCTCTAAGATGTCATCTGAGCCATCCCATCCTGAACGGGACAGGAAAGTTTGGTTGGGAGAAGGGGAGGCCAAAGGAAAGAGTGATGAAAAAACCAAAATGGGAAAGGAGGCAGGGACAAGGAACGAGAGACCCGGCAAGTCCAGAGAGGCCCAGCTGGGGCTGCGGGGAAGGAATGTGGCTGTCTCACCTCCGGTTCCAGAGCTGGGTGCCCCTAAAGGCCCAGGGCGACGCTGACGGAAACGCTGGCGGGGGGAATCCCCGGGGCTGAAGGATGCAGAGCCCCGGACCACAGGGAGCCGGGAACTCAGCCTCCTCCGCTGCCCACCTGACGAGGTGTCATCCCGAAGGCAGAGAGAGCTCTGGGCCCTGCGCATAGGCCCTGGGGAAGCTAGAGCAGGAGAAAGGCAGAGCGATGAGGAGCAGGATCGCAGAGTAGGGAGAGGGCCAGGTGCGAGGAGAGAGCAAGAGATGAGGACAAGGAGCCAGGGTACCACCCAGCCTGGGCACCTGGACCCAAAGCGTTTCCTTCCCCACTCAATTCAATTCCACTGAGCACCTGCAGGGCACCCAGGCCTCTCCGGTGAGGATGATGATGATAAGAACTTCCAAAATTTATTGGGAATTGACACAAATCTCCAAGGCTGAGAGCCATTCTCTTGAAGAACTCAATCTCCCTGAAGGCAAGAACTGCTTCAGCACCTACAAGAGTGCCCTGCACCCTGAAGTAGGTATTTCATGGAATGTTCATGGAATTAAATTAAATAGATTAGCAGCCAAAGGAGATGAACAGTTTTCAAAAGAAGAAATACAACCATAGGAAAGACAGCTTCAAATCATGAGTAATAAGAAAAGGGCAACCTAAATCATCTCTGTGGTTTCTCCTCACACTCCCTCAAATTGGCAAAGATGATAAAATATAGAAACAATCAATGTTGGAGGGGCTGTAGAAAGACAGGCACACACTAATATGGAGTTGGTGGCGCTGTGAATTGGTCCAACCATTCTGGGGAAAAAAAAAACTGAAAATATACTAAGAAAGTGAATATACCATTCATGCCCTTTGGTCCCACAGCACATAAGTCCCTTGAGGGCATGGACTATTCAATTTTTTTGTGTCTGGATCCCCAGTGCCTTCTGGGATTAGAATGTGAGCTACAGGGCAGCTGTCGCCCTTTGCTTTTCTTTGTATCCTTAGTGCTTATAGTAGGTGCCTAATAAATGTTCGTTGACTGACTCCAGTGCCTTGCATGTAATAGGCATTTAATACTTATTGGATGGAATTGTACTGACATAATCCAATGATCCTACAACCAGACATTGACTCCAAGTCGGTTGAAGATAGAAAGGAAGACACTAATATAAACCAAAATATAACTACCACCACTTTGGGGGGGGGCAGTAATCAAAAATGCAAACAAATAAAAACAAGAAGCAAAGTAGGTGTCCGCTGAAAACGCAACGAATGGCTGAACAAAACATGTTATGTGGATGTCATAAAGTAGCACAAGGGCATATAAAGAAATGTTAAGAATTCAGAGAAGCATAAGAAGACTGATATGAACTGATACAGAGGGCAGAATCAAGGTGGTGGAGTGAGAGGAAGCCTTTTTTATCTGGCTTACCCAGCACTCTTCCTCCGCACTGACCTAGAAAATTCACCAGACCAAATTCTGACCAGGAAAGCCAAGAAGAAGTCACAATGAGTCATTTTCAAGCTCAGGGAGGCTTAAAGAGAGAGAAATCTACAGACACTAGGGACTGGGGCTGGCCAAGAGTGCACATAGCAACAGCAGTAGGTATTATTCCAGTGCACAGGGATAGAAAAAGGTCCAAGACAGGGCATGAGGGCAGGACATCAGTGCAGAAAGAGACTTCCACCAAAAATTTTTTTAAAATCTTATTTAAAATTTGTTACATGTAATTGGGAAACAGTGAAATAAATAAAGATTTTTTAAAAGAGATTTCAGAGGATCCTGAACTATCACTAGGTGAAAAAACAGGTGCCATCTGGAAGCTCTGTCACCCAACACCCAATCCTGGATCACAGATCCAGGGCAGAGAATAGTGGTCCCAGTCTCAAGGGAGCAGGAGCCCTCGCTATGTACTGAGCAAGGAATAAGTTCCAGAATCATAGGTGAAGGACAGTTCTAATCTTTAACCCAGCACAAAAGCCTGCAACAGAATAAACCAAGGCAGGAAGCCAAGACCAAGAGAGCCAGCAGCTCAGTCACTCTGAACCTGCAGAATAGTGACTGAGTCCAGCAGCGGTCTACGGAAACTCAACCACATACATGCCAGCAGGCCCAAATCTGGGTCAGAAATTTGCAGAGCTCAGAGTAGGAGGGCAGTGAACAAATCTCTCCCAGGATCACACCACTTTGAAGGCTTGCAGGTGCCAGCCCAAGCTGTGAAAGCAGCAGAAGAATATAAAAGAACAGAAGCTCTGGCCAACTACACACACACACACACACACACACACACACAGACAGACACACACACACACACACACACACACACACACACACACACACACACA